GGGCATAGTGATAAGCCACACAAGGAAATCATCAAGGAAGCAATTGAAATGTTGCCGTGTTCTCTCAAAAGTTGCTTGAGATTTCAGTCTAGACCTAATAAGAAACCGAAGCTATGAAAAGTAGCTCTGCTTGCCTCCTTCAGTGAGATTGTCCCAGATAAGTAGAGATTGTCAGTTAGGTCACAGCAAGTGCTTGGGGGCTCTTGGAAAACATCCTGCCAAAGTGATGGATCTACTTGTGTTGTGGCTCGTCTTCAGCTCCTCACAAAAGGCTTTTCAAGGGAGAAAGATGGGCCAATCTCTTTGAGCGCAGCTTGCTGAACATTTTTTCTTAAAAAAATGTTCCTATTATCTTTTCTCCAGCTTAGCCCAGAGCATTTTCAGAAAAACTCGTAAAGTCAGCCTACTCCATAAATCACTCAGAGAGAGTCTTCATCAAACTTTCACTTTTCACTTCTTGAATCTAAGAGGGGAGAGGAGATCGTAAGTCTCCTGCCTTTTAAGTGACACTGGAGAACCGGAAATCGAATGGGAAGTCAGAAATGGAAGCTACCATCCACACAATAGGTTCCTAGGTTCCTAGCTCCTAAGTCAATGGTCTTTCGAGCACATCAGAAGTCCTCTTTGCTAATCTCAGTTATGGAAAAGGATCTGCCTGCCAAGCACTGTGTTAAAGCCTTGACATACCAGTGTCACGGGATTCCAACCCTGCAAGCTAAGTTGTCATATCGTCTCTATTTTACAGATGCATGCATGAGTCTTAGAGGTTTAGGCATCTTGAGCAAGGTTACAGTGTCGGTAAACTTCAGAGGTAGGCATGAGTCCCCTTCTGCTTAAGGCCCATTTGGCTTCTTCTGTCCATTAATTGACTTCTACACCTTAACAGTCTCCTTCAGATCATTGTGATATCTCTTCTTCTGTAGGAATAAGACACTTCAGTGCACTTGGCTTAGGAAGAGTCTTCTCCAGAGGGTCTATGAGGCTAAGGACGGGGCAGGGTGAGGGCGGCACAGGACCTGACTGGAAGGGGCGGACCGGGCAGGAGGGAGACAGTGAAAGACCAATAGTATATGCATAATACCAAGCTAAGACAGAAGCATCGCTTCTAGCCTTGTCGGGTTTTTTGTTTTGTTTTGTTTTTTTAAAAATGTCCTTGCAGAGAATTAGCAGACAGGTGAAGTTTTAAGAGCTACAGTCCATTTGTAGTTGAGAGGTTCCTTAAAACAAACGAGAAACAAAGAACCCAAAGATCCTAAGCTGCTGGGGAGCGGGAAGGCTGTGTCTACATGAAGGAATCAGGGAGAAGTGATGCCCCTGCTTTATTTTTCACAATGCCTACAGAAAAGATGAGCAACAGCCAGGCAAGAAGAGACTAGAGCTATTTATTCTCAAAAGGAAGAACACTTGAAGAGATTCATCGGCGTGGCATTAGCAATCTTCTAAAACATTTACACATGAAATCTTGCAGACAGGAAAAGGACAAATCAATCAGGCGCATGGCGTTTGAAACTGTCACATTCCACAGATCTGTGATAGGTCACTGTCTGAATGCAGAATCACTCGCTCCCTCTCAGCTTGGCTTTCTATTCTATGCTCTGCCTATGGGATTGAGAGTATGGCGTGGAATCAGCAATCACACATGGCTCCCAAGAGTCAACATGTAAGAAATGGAGTGGACAAAACCCACTCACCCGTCAACAGTCATTGTTTAAGAAGACAGCACCCTCTCCTTCCACGCTGGGATGCAGCCAGTACTGGGTATTTTTCATTGTTTTTTTGGCTGAGGGGAAGGGGGCTTGATGCTGCTCCTCCTTGTCAAAGGTTAACTCCTCAGTTGTCATTCATGCACCACAAACTACCAAATTGCAGGTGACATCGCTTAGTCCCTCTGCATCAGGAAGAGACGATTTCTTTCAGGAATTTCAGGACAGAGAGACAGGAATGCACAAATCATCAGAAGGGAGAAATAGATTCCAATTCATGCAGCCTTCAACAGGCTGCCCAGCATGCTGGCCTTGTCTACCGATTCTTTAGGTGTATTTCTGACCCTACAGTTAGCTTAGTTGGTTCCAGGAAAGTATTCACCGGGCTTATAGAAAACGACTTGTTGGCATATGTCTGAGATGTGCTGGTTCTAGATCTAAAAGGCTGTCCCTCGTATCACTGTCAAAATCAACAGAGTTCCATCGAATTGTCTTGGACTCTGCAGACCTGCAGACCCAAATCCAAGTTCTACACTTTTTTCTGTCTTGTCTTCATGATGTACCATGTTAAAGGAAAGACAATCGAGGCATTGAGTGCAGAACCATCCATTTACATAACAAATTCTAGATTTTTTTGGAGGAAGGAGAAGACTCTAAAAACCACTTATTTATCTGAGGACAGAGATGTAAAGGAGCACCCCCACCCCCAGAGGGAGCAAAGTGCCCTGGGAAAGGCAGGTGAAACCTGTGGAGGACCCACTAACAACCAAGAACCAGTGACAATCGGTTCATTCATCCACCAGACTGAAGGATGAATGACCCAGAGCTCACTGTCTAGACAAAAAGGTCATGGCAGGAAAGAGATCATTTTTATGGAGCACGTGTTGAGACACGATTATCCTGGAAGCCATGGGAATGGCGGAGGCTCACCTAACTGTCTGTTCACTATCGTCTCTCTCCACTCAATAGCCTCTTCCATGGGATGAAACTAAGAATAACTGCTGCCTTGCCGAGTGAGTTCAAAGGTTAAATGTGACATGGCATTGAGAGACCACAGCAGTGGTCCTGGCACAGAGGCAGAGCATTGACTCTTATGACTGGACCCTCTGCTCTCCTGGGAACTAGACATCTTCTCCTTTCTTTCTTTCTTTCTTTCTTTCTTTCTTTCTTTCTTTCTTTCTTTCTTTCTTTCTTTCTTTCTTTCTTTCTTTCTTTCTTTCTTT